TTAAGGACAAGAGGAAGACAAAGGACATTAACAATCAGCTTCACCTTATACCCAACACTCAGGACCTGTGGTTGGTGATCAGACTTGAAAAGACTTTTACAAGTGTGTGCCCTGTATCACCATATCGTTATTAGTCTCTAACTTTCTATACAGTTTATCAGTATTGCTTCTTCACATTTCTGACAACGGTTACTGAAGTCAGGACAGTAATTCAGCACCACCACACACTAGCTGAGGCACCCTGGGCAAGCCATTTATCTTCTGTAGACCTTGGCTTCATTGCAACATGGGGAGATACAGTTCTCGACTTTCTTGGATCATGGAGAACATTTAGCAAAACAACAGGCACGATAGCACTTTGGAAAACATTGAAACTTAATAACTCAGAAGCAAGACTTGTTGGGGCAGAATTCAGTTTCTACTTGCTTTTGGTCATTTGGGATGTGGGGAAAGTTCCTTATAAACCCCGAATAAACCTGTCACAGGTCAGAGGGAGAGGGCTGCTAACTACCTCACGATAGAAGGAAGACTGGGACTCTTCCCAGACCACCCCCACCTGCCCTCCTGACCTTTCAGCCCTTTGTTCCCCAAAGAAATCCATCCAAAGCCAGCAACTCAGGCACCAAAACAATCCAGACTTCATTAAAATTCACGCCCTCCCTCCACCTCAAATTCCCTCTTTTGGCCCCCCATTAGCCTTTTATCTAAGCTTCAGGAACCCCACATCTTCACTCTGGGTGTACCCCAGTGCCTCAGCCCAGGACTGCTGATGCCTTCTGTGAGAGCTCGTCTAGTTCTCACGTGATTCTCTCAAGTTGTCTTACACATTTCTCATTTAGAGACACTGCCCTATCATTCAAAGGGAACTATCCTGCCTCTTCAACTCACTTGTAAGTTTGATAAAGCCAGTGACAGCTCCATGTTTCTTGTATGGAGTATGTACACGGCACCTAATAGTTAAAAAGGAAGATGTCTAAACGAGAAAAATGACTGACAAAAAGAATTTAAGGGAGCCAGTATATTCCGAAAGAAGCTCAGCCATCTGAAACTAACTCATCTAATTCACTTCCTTCATTACAAAGAATCACTCACTGATTTCTCTTGACTGAGTTTTTCCACATATTAACTTTCTCTGCTGTTAAATATGACCTTGGTAAATTCTTAAAAATACAGTTCAAGAAATGGAATGTTGACAACATGATAGACGTTTACGGATATAAATGTTGTTCTGCCTATTAGTGTTAACACAGGCATCCAGGAGCAACTTTTTCATTTTGTATATTAACCTTGATTTTGAGACTCTGGGCTTTCAGTTTCAGGTGTGGGAACACTGACAGGTTTCTCACTGTCTGATCACCAGGTGGTTTTTGTCTAAAAAAAAGAGTCTTGAAAGTAGTTAGGAAATATATGCAAAGGCATTTGTTATAGAAAAACGTGTTCTCCGCCTTTACTGCCTAGCCACTTAACTTAATATAAAAACTAATGTAGGGCTGGGAGATGGTGATTCAGAGTAGAACGTTCTTGCCTCCAAGCCTTGTGACCTCAGTTTATTCCTAAGACCCACATAGTGGAAAGACAGAACTGACTCTTAAAATTTGTCCTCAGGCTTCCTTCCACACACATGTAGACAGACAGAAACACACAGAGAGAGAAAGAGAGAGAAAAGTAAATGTAACAAACAGGTTTTAAAAATATTTTAATCTTCCTATTCTAAATATTTGAGCCTTGAGCCTTCACAGTCTAAGGAACAAAATGGCACGCCACGACCTTGGTAGCCTCTTAGTCCTCCCTCTGTGCTCTAGATGAAGATAATGAGTGAGCTCCTAGGTAGGTGTGGTGTCACATTCTTGTGAGTCTGACACCCAAGATGTAGAAAAAGGCAAGAGGATCAAGTGTTTCAGGAAAGCTTGAGCTACCTATCAAGACCCTATCTCAACATACATCAGCCAATTAACCAATCTACAAATCCCTGGAGGCCAGCATGCTCCAGTCTTTGCAGCTTTCCTGAACTCATGTGACCTCAGCAAATGACAAATAGCCTGTTCTCCAGCTTGTCATATGCGGCAGTGTGGGGAACTAAGCGGTGCCTCCTTCTGCTCCTGAGCTTTCTACGCCGATGGGGAGGTGAGCCTCTGGTGTACATGAGGCCGTCTTCTCCACTGGAGCCATCTGCTTTGACTCCATCCCTGCCTTCCTTAGTTGGGCTGCTCCAACTTTCACCGTCATCTGTCACTCCCCCTCTACTGAGAGAATCGGTGTCGTCCTCCCACAGCGCAAGCACACAGTGTTGGAGTCCTCCCAAATAACCCACATCCCCTGATAAAGGTACCTTAGACACCGTCCTGAGATCAGCGGGTTTTGTCCAGGGGAATTAAGCAGACCTCTGTGGGGTTGGGATCTTACAGTAGAGTGTGATCTAAAACCAACTTTCTCTGGTGGAAGAGTCAAATGGGTGGGAACAAACCCCTCCTTTATCAAACAACAGTGTAGTTCGTGTACTTGTTTGGAAAAAAAGTGACAACACCGAATAAAGTAGCCAAGCTGCCTACTCAGGAGCTCCCTCCTAGGTGGCATATTTATAGACTTTCCATTCACCCAGCAGAGAGAAAGGGCCCCGAGATCAGACCCCTCAGTTGGCAGATGACATAACCAGCGCACACACAGAGGAAGGGACAGACTGAACATGGCCAGTAAGTGGCAAAGCCTGGAGACAGAATGCAGAACTCTGTACCTCTCCAGACTCTACTGCTTCCAAAACCAAATAAGCATTTGAACTGACTGTCACTCCTGCAGCCCCAGGACTCGAGAGCCGTAAACCACAACTACACTCAACCCACACGGTATTGACCGCCCCTGAAACAGCGCTTTCGCAGCTCTGGCTTTTGCTCTTATACCACGCTACTCTCCCCAGTGAACAGAAGCTGGATAAACACTGAGAGCTGATTGGCTGATTAATGGGCGAATACATAATAAAGGACACCGTGCCTTCCTGAACTCACAGCCAAGGCAGCTCCACTACATGGCCTCTTCGTCCCATTTCTTTCCCTCTCGCTTGCTTAGAGATTTTGAGAATCATCACGGAACATGTCAAGGAAGCAATTGCTTTGGAATTTACCCTTTAAAAAGGCAAAAGGCACCGAAGTCCACAGGGAAAATTTTCCCTGAACCAAACACGAACTGGAAAATGTGCAGTGACGAGGATTACACGCAGAGCTCCTGGGAACGCTAATCTAAGAGTCCATCCCTGTGTCAAGAGCTATTTTCCTAGCTTCCCAGAGAGAGATCACAATCCTTTAATCCAGGCAGGAGGGGAGTGCTAGGCAGAGAGCTTAAGCAATGGGCACCGACAAGGAGAGGATAAACTCAGAACTGAAGAGAGAGCCAAGACAATATTAATATTAGAAGCCCAAGTGGTTGTGTGTGCCAGGGACAGCCCAATGGGGTAGAATGCGAAGTTTCTTTTTGCTTGAGTACCAAGGACTGCTTGGCATCTTGCAGTGAAATAGACATATATGTAAGCAGCAATGAGCATTCATTACAGAGGCAGAGAAAGAGAGGCGGGCGTGACAAACCTCTCTATGAACATACTGTAGGATTTGTATCTACTAAGTAATGTTAGACAGCATATATGTGCGAGTATGCACAGAAGCACATGGGGTTGCATTTTTTGCGCATGCTCTTATTCCAGGGCTCCTCTAATCATCCGACTCCTCACAGATATTGGAGTGCAAGGTTTGCAACCATCGCAAATACTCAGAACTTTGACCAGACATTTATTTGACCCACTTTAGACAGTGACATTTGTAGTAATATCACACAGTAGCATTAGTAAGTAGGGAAGCCATGTTAAAGAGTAGTAGCTATAGCAATGTCTTTTCATTCTTTCTTAATTCCCGGTAGACCAGAAGTCAGAGAGGCCCATGCAATTTCCAGCAATTCTGTGAACCAAATGCCACCTTTACTTTTATTTTCGGCTAACAGAGCACAAGGAGGCGTGTCCCTCTTAATTTGATGTGGCTCCCCACCCAGGGGGCAAACTCGCCCTAGCCACTCCTCCAGGTCACCGTAATAAACTCATCAGCCCTGAGCAAGCTGCACTTCCCCATCTCTGTCAGGAAACAGATCAATACACACAGCAGAGCACTCAGGCGCTGCTCATAAACTCTCCTGAGTAAATGTTAGGTACCTTCCCATGCCAAGCTGACGCAGCCTTCTTCCGGAGGCAGCGTTGCCAAGGCCTGTGAACTACTGGGCTTGAGAGGAGGAAGGATGGGGCACCAAGACAGCAAAGCGAACTGAACCCAGAGACAAGCCAAAAGCCAGATGGGTTGCAAGGTGCTGCTGCTGTCCTAAGATCAACAGCTTCCTTCACATGGTAAAAAAATCACAGGGGCCAAAGTAAGGCAGCCGTTCACAGACATATAAATAGCAGTGTCTCCTGGCCAACCTGAGATGGGAGAGGAGTGTCCACTAACTCGGCAGCTCAACTGCCACAAAAGCCGCCGTGAGCCTCCCTGGCTTCTCTAGAGAAACCCAGGAAGATAACCTTCAATCAGCCTGGCGACAAAAAAATTCAAATAATTTTTTTTATAAATCCCACAGCTGCCAGGAAAGGAAATCAAACAAACAAACAAGCACAACTCTGAATGTATATCCAAAAGACTTGGAGCAAAGGATGCTGAGCACGGAGGAGGGGAGGCATCTTGAGACCTATCTGGAGCCACCCTTGGCACCTGTTCGTAAGCCCAGATCTCGAAATAGCATCCAGCAACAAGTTTCTAAAATGGCAAATCTACGGCTGCTTTTTCCCTGAGAGTGCTTAGTCACGCTAATCCTCTGACCCAAGAAATCCTTTCACGGGAGCCTGCTAGCTGAAGCAGAGCCGTGCTCGCCCATGTCTGCAGCCATGGCAGCAGCCGCAGCAGCTAGCAGCAGTCCCTGAGGCGGAGGAAGGCTGGAGTGGGCACTCCTGGGCCCCACCTCCTCCCCAGCACACTCACCATCAGCAGGCTGAGCGCAGAGTCCGGCACCAGCTGCACTGCCATGGTCCCTGATTGCGATTCCCATGCACAGATGCTTCTGCTGAATCAGTCTGCCTGGGCCCAGGGCAGCTGCAGAGCATCCGCCAGCACCTAGAGCAAAGCAGCCGGACATATAGACTTAGGGAGCCAAGGGCTCAGGGTGAAGCTAGGCCACATTTCCCATGGAGTGGGGAAGAAGGCGGGGGTGGGGGTTGGGGGGGGTCAGGAACTGTGCTTAGGAAGAGCAAAAAATATATATGGAGCAGAAGGCGCATAGCAAGCTGCAGGTTATTTAAAGGTGAGCTCTCCCTAGCTTCTCTAAGCTGCATGTAGAAACCGCATCAAATACAAATGGAACACGGGAGCCTGGAACGCAGCAATTCTAGCTGCTACCTTAGCCTAGGCAACAATTCTGCTTTGAACCGACAATTAAAATAAAAATGTTTCCCCACTGCAGATAAATCAGCCAGCCCAACCAACACCCCGCCTCCCTGCATCTCTCAGCAAATTCTGCTGCATAAACATGCTGAATGTCACAACCTACCGGCTTGCAATCTGGTCAGTCGCGTCTCCCTGCTGCAGAAAGGTGTGTCTCTTCTGCTAAAGCAAGTATCTAGGAGAGAGAGGGCTGAGCGTGACCAGGAGGCAGTGGGCAGTCACTGGAGATCAGCAGATGCCCCCATGAGAAGTGAGGACCCACTCACTTAGGAACTGATCCCTTCCACCTTCTACTTTTCCCCTCCGAGTAGACTGCAGGCAGAGCTCCATGCAGGGCTGAGACTTAGGGAGAACATGGAATTATGCAGTCTGTTCCGTGAGCGTTCTGATCCCTGCCTGTACCACATGTACGCAGCCAGACACCCTCTACTTCTCTCTCTCTCTCTCTCTCTCTCTCTCTCTCTCTCTCTCTCTCCTTCCTCCCTCCCTTCCTCCCTCCCTTTCTTTCCCTCCCATCTCTCCACAGGGCTGCCTGTTAGAAATTTTGAAGGATCCTCCCTAGGGCAGGAGAGGGAGGGCAGAGGAGGCGAAATTATAAGAAAGGACACTGCATAAGACAAAAACGGCAAATGAGCCTTGGAAAGTCATATCACTGGGTGTACTTTCTCCCGAAGATGCCAAAAGAAAAACAGGGGGCTGCCACCAGGTTCTGTTACATACCATTTAGACCTGTGTTCAGTGTCTCTGTAGTCTTCCTCCAAATGAAACAAATCAAAGTGTCTTTACAGGAGCATGGTGAAATTCATAGCCTGGATTCTCTTTCAATTAAAAGTGTCAATTGCTTACACTTCTGGCAGCAGTTTTTAATCTCCTTTTCTGATCCCTGATTTTACTCACCTGCTATAATGACCCATAAAATATTCGGAAATTAACAGGATGGTGTGAAATCCGGGGACAAGGAAACTGATACTGTATATTAGAAACCTGGGGGAAGGAACGGCTCTTACCTATTCCTGTGAATAAGTACAGCTGTTGTCCCCATATACTTTATATGTGTATGCTTGTGTGTATGTTCACAAACACACGTGCAGATGTGTGCACATGCATGTGGAAGCTGGAGGATAGCCTCAGATGTCATTGCTTAGGCTCTGTTGGTTTTGTTTCATGGATTTTGGTTTTTCTCTAAGTAAGTTAGACAAACTAGATAGTGGGACACCTGATGGCTTGGCCAGCCTTATCTTCCCAGGACAGGAATCCTAAGTCTGTGCCACCGTGCCCAGACTTGTATATGTAAGAACTCGGCTCCTCATGCATGCCTCATGCTCGCACAACAAACATGTTAGAGACAGAATCATCTCCCAGCCTTCCAAATGCTAAGGCAGTGGTTCTCAACCTGTGGGTCATCACCCCTTCATATCTACATGTCAGATATCCTGCTACCAGGTATTTACATTACAATGGATAAAAGTGCCAAAATTACAGTTATGAAGTAGCAATGAAAATAATTTTATGATTGGGAGTCATAAAAGAATCAATGAATCCCTTCCTGCCACCAAGAACTGGAAGGTTCAAAGGAAAGGTGTATGAGCATAGCCTTGCATAGAACTGTGAGGACTTTCTGGACATGCTCAAGTGTTCCAATACACCTAAAACTTAGTATCGGTAGTCAAGAAATGATGACGTAAGAAGCACATCTTGGGTACTGACTTGGGGACCCTCACTCTGGCCCACCCTCACCCATAGACTCTTGAATGTTCAGCTCATCCTAGTCCAGTGCCTGCTTTGCCATTCCACCTTCAAAGAACTTTCCATCTTCGAGGAGATGAGGTGTGCACAGGAGTTACTTATAGATGTTAAGATATGGAAAATGCTATCAGGTGGCCTCGAAACAAGTCTTCAGGTAGCGGTGAGACAAGAAATTCCTTCTGGCTAGATTCTGAGATGAGCCCCAAGGAATAACAAGGGATCGTTTTAAATATTTCTGCCCTGCTGAGTTCTGTGTGGACCACGCTCTTGTGCAACGTCGAAAGTATAACAGTAGAAGCTACCTCAAGTGGTACATGTGGGCCGGGTGCGCTTATTCCACAGAGACAGACAGGGTGGCTTCAGGAGTGGAGAAATCCAGGCTGATAGAAAGGTTGGGGAGGTGGGTCTGAGAGATGTTGTCTCCATCATGGATGTGGCTCTTTGGCACACCTGCCTTCGTTTATGGTTTCCTTTTGTTTGGAAAGGAAACTGTCACTTGAAACCCAGAGTCCCTCAACAAGTGAAGAAATGCAACAAGTCTCTTGTGTGAACCCCACTGAAAGGAAGGGAAAATCTTGGGGCTGTGGGGGTGAGGGAGCAGATGAGGTAAGGCAAGAGACGAGTGAAAGATGTCAAAAGGTAAATTTCCCTCTACCCAGCCCAGTGCCTTTGATCAACCAGTTCCAAAGCCTGACTGCACCATGAAGGGGGCGGGGACAGCAAACAGCACTAGGAGTTGAAATGACCTTGAAAGCAGCTAGGGCTCCACGGTTAGACAGTGACTGAATTATAGGAAAAACAAGGGCCCAAGAAAATCCCAGAAGTAAGCAAATCAAATTCGCTAAAAGTATATGTATGGCATACTGCTTTCAATGTCAAATTTTTCACACACAGTAATAAATAGTTCTTGACTTCTCTGTGTGGGCATTCATAGGTGCTTTAAGTTATTAATACTTCTTTTTACCTTTTTGAATTTGTTTTTGCCAGTTTTATACATATATACAATGCACTGTGACCAGTCACTCACTCTGATCTAACTGGAGAGGAACAATCCAATGTCACAATTAGATAGATAATCTTTATCTTTGTGTAGTCTCACATCTCAAAACATCAAGCATGAATAGCAGCAGATGTGGCCGGTGATGTTAACTTGAGAAATGATAGAGGTGTCAAAACATTAAGTAGGAAGAGTCAGGAGTAAGGACATCACTCTAGAAGAGAGTAGAATATGGAGAGTGGGTGAATAAAAGTAATAAAGAGAGTGAAGGAGCCGTCAGAGGCTGGGGAAGAGCACCCTCAAATGAGTGGAGATGGGGACATAAAACATCTAAGCAAATGTGGAGCAGATGAGGGAATGGAGAATTCATTTATATTAAATAGACCTTTATCACAAAAGCAGTGATCAGCTGGGGGGGGGGGGGGTGGCAGGCATTTATTCCCAGAGGCAGGTGGATCTCTGTGAGTTTAAGGCCAGCCTGGTCCACAGAGTGAGTTCTGTGCTAGTCAGTGCCACGCAGAGAAACCCTGTCTTGAAAACCAACCAAACAAACAAACAATAAACAACAGTGATCCAAGGCAGGGCCTTTAATCCCAGCAGAAGTAGGTGGATCTCTGTGAGTTCAAGGTCAGCCTGGTCTACAGACTGAGTCCCAGGACAGCCAGGACTACACAGCTAAACCCTGTCTCAAGAAACAAACAAACAAAAATAAAAGCAGCAATCAACACATGGGATGTCACACACACTGGAATGATTTTTGGGCTAAGGAAGATGAATCCCTGTTGGTTGTAGTTAGTGGAACAGGAATCACTGCGCTAAATGAAACAAGACACACTCTAAAAAACAAGCATTATAATTTTTCTCATATGCAGAATCTGTTTTTTTTAAAGACAAGGCAATAGAAGGGAGATTATTTGGGAAGGGGAAGAGGTGAGGGGGTAAGTGCAATCAAAGTACATTATATACATGTGTGTAGAGCTGGAGAGTGTTGTTGGTTATTACTCTTTATTCTTTGGGGGTGGCTATCACTAGCCCCCAAATAAATCTACACAGAGAAACTCGTTCTTTATCATAAAACTCCAGCCTTAGCCTGGCTTGTTTCTTGCCAGCTTTTCTTAAGTTATCCCATCCATCTTTTGCCTTTGGGCTTTTACCTTTCTTTAACCCTATGGTTGGTTGAGTGGCCCCTGATGTCCTCCTCTCCTTGTTCTATCTTGTTCCTCCTTCCCAGATTTCTCCTTCTATATATTCTCTCTGCCTTCTAGTCCCACCTATCCTTTCTCCTGTCTCCCTATTGGCCATTCAGTGCTTTATTAGACCAGCAGATGTTTTAGACAGGCAAAGAATCACAGCTTCACAGCATTAAACAAATGGAGCATAAACAAAAGCAACACATCTTTACATCATTAAACAAATGTCCCACAGCATAAACAAAAGTAATCTTAAAATAATATTCTACCACAGGAGAGATAGATCAGCAGTTAAAAGCTCTATCCACACAAGCCTGATAATTGGGCTTGAACCTGGAACACATGTGAACAGCCAGATGTGGTGGTGTACAACAGCAATCTCAGCACTTTTACAGTGGCTGAGACTGGAGAATCCCCCTGGAGCTCTAGGGCCACGTAATCTGAAGTAGATTGAGCAATAGCAGAAAACAAGAGAGTCCTTGACTCACCAAAGTGGAAGGCAGGAACTGACTGAGAAGTTGTCCTCTGACCTCTACACATATACACATCTATTCTCACACACAAAAAATACATACAGGCACACACACGTACAGATACACATATAAACACATACAAAAGCATACATATACACAGACACACATATAAACAGATTCACGCACATACAAACATACAAAATACACACAGACATACACACACAGGAAAACACACAGGAAAAATTAATGAATTAAAAAATCTTTTAATAAAAGATAAATCAATGTCACATTCATCAAAAGCCATTACAAAAATTAGCCATTGGGCCAACGAGAATGTTCAGCAGGTAAATGTGTTTTATGCCCAGCCTAACAAGATGAATTCAATTCCAGGAAGCCACATGATAGAAGTAAGTGTGTGTGTGTGTGTGTGTGTGTGTGTGCGTTTGGGGTTGTTAGATGTGCCTTGAGATGCATGTGGTGGTCAGAGGACAATCTTGTAGAGTTAGCACTCTCTTTCTGCCTTTCCTGGGTTCCAGGGATTAGAGTGACTGTCAGGCTTTCTCAGTAACAACTTCCTCACTGAATCATCTTGTTGTTACCTATCAGGCCTTTCTTTGGCCTATACATAGTGGACGTTCAACAGCTGTTAAAATTAATGATACCCTATTCATTTTGATAATGAAAATAGGGAAGCTAAACAACGTTGGCATATTGCTTGGCCAGAATGCCCAAACCTAATTTTACTTTTAATTACAGCAAAGATCTAAGCTACCATCATTACTTCCTTAGTTTCCCCTTTAATCCTTACCCTGTCTTACTAATGTCTAGTTTGTCTTGGTGTCAAGAAGCCATCTGAGATTCTTCTATGAAAAGATATAGGTGACCACAAATCATTCTTGATCTATACTCTGCACTCATAAATTTGTCACACTGTGCAATTATTTTCAGCTAATAACAGATAATAGCAATTACAATAATATTTAGAAATAAGGTG